GTATACAGCATACCCAAAGCGGCGCTTGTGCAGACGAACATACATACATACATAGATACATACATACATACATATGTACCTACATCTTCTATCTATCTATCTATCTATCTATCTATCTATATTATATAAATCTCAGGGTTACTGTTGGGATTGCGAGATGGTGTAGGACTTAGGTTATGGGCATCTGCCAGCATGCGATGATATACATCTGGGCCCGTGCTAGGAAAAGCCGTGGGTGTCCGGTATTCCCTTTCAGACCACCAATGTCCAGTCTTTGCCCTCAAGGGAAAATAAGCAACTCCAGCACACTTCGTAATCAGGAGAGGCATTCAGCGTTTTTTGTCTTACCCAGCATGGCTTTTGCAATGTCACCGGCATGAAGGCTTCTTATTTAAGCTGTTCTATGCTTCCGTTAAATCCCCGCCTAGACGCTGAAGCCCTGTCTAAATCAGCCACTGTAAGCAGAGGTCTTTTGGGGCCGTGACTGCACCCTAGAACCCTCAGTTTCAGCTCGGGAATCGAAGCCATGCGAAGCCCCTACAGCTTCAGGAGCAGTTCTTCCCCTCGAAGATGCGGACGTTTATCGTCACAACCTTTTTGTCATTCCGACAATCCCAAAAGCACAGAACCAAACAATCAAAGCAGAACAAACAGCTCCCGAAACCTAAACCCGAAATCCTTCTCTGCAATGAGAGGGAAAAACCCTAAACCCAAAACCTTAAACCCGAATCCCTAAATCCTAAACCCGAAACCCTAAACCCGAAACCCTAAACCCCGAAACCCTAAACTAAACCCGAAACCCTAATTGAACTGTAAAGAAAACCCTAAACCCGCAGCCGCTTCCGAGACTGGTCGCGGTGCGGCCCTCATCTCGGACGGCACCAACAGTTACATGGTGACGCGGAGCGGCCACCGAGGCCTGGGGAGCAAGTGCTCCTTTGAGGGTTTAGGGCTTCCGGCTAAGAGGGTTTCGGGCTTAGGTTTTAGGGTTTAGGGCTTACCTGAAGGGATGCAGGGCTTAGTGCATTGCAGTCCCTGCTCAAAAAAAAGGGCTTACGGTTTAGGGGTTTAGGGGTTGGGGGTTTAGGGTTTATTTAGGGTTTAGGGGTTTAGTGTTTAGGGCTCCTTTAGGCGAGGCCTTTTGGGGCCACCGAGGCATGGGGGGATCCTTTATGGGCTCTTTTCAGGGTTAAGTGATGTGACAAGAGTTTAGGGTTGAGGGTTTAGATGGGGTACCCCAAGGGTTCCTGTAAGGGGTCCTACTTTACAGGATCCCTTTAAGGAACCTTTAAAGGGGGTAGTGAATCCTAGACCCAAAAGCCCGTAAACATAGGAGCCTTCAGAGTAGGGTCATTGAAGAGGTTTTATGTAGTCATCTTCGAGACCGGAAAGGGATGCATGACTAATATTTAATGGCTTATACTTCTGAATCTGTATTCATAGAGCCCGTGCAACCTACCTATAGCGTCATATTCTGTTTCAGGGTTGCCATTTTTCTGTTCCTACAAAGGGGCAGGGTATGAAACCTCTAGGTAGACAGAGGCTGGCAGCGTCAGTCTCGATTCGATGGCCTAATCTTCAGCGGCTCTAGCCTCCTGGCGCCGAACCAGTTCAGTAATGTAGGGGCCTAAATAATTGCCAATACTATTTTGGGAGTTTCTTATTGCAACTATAGTACAGGGGGCCCAAAACCCAATTCCAATTATTAAGGCCCCTACATTACTGTGCCCCCGATTCTCTCCATCTCTGCAACTTCGATTCTGCACGATTGCGTAGCTTCAGTTTCGGCCCGGGACCAGCATGTCGAAACTCAAGCGCTCTTAAACTACCAGAACCTCCTTTTTTTGTAGGGTCCCTATCAAATCCATATCAGGGTTTATAATGGGAACCTACAAAAAAAGTAGGTTATGGTGGCTCAACGATACAGCCACTTGAGCTCGAAAGCCGAAACTGTAAACCCTTATCCCCTGCTGCGGAGGCTCCACCATCGTGCGCCCTGGCTGGAGCCGGTTTTCATAGCCGAACATGACAGATGGGAGGTCCCCTTAGGAAGGGGCTTCTTTGAAAGGGACCTGGAAAGGAATGCAAAAGTTTAGGAGGGTCTTCGATGTTGATTCCTAAAGCCCTCAGCTTGGGATATTTAAGGGCTAGCCGTTGAGTTGAATGAAGGTCTTCGGTTTCCCAGAGTGCTGTAAATTTCTGTAAGCTGCTGCATTGGGATACATCGCGGCAGTATGGGCCCTGCCTTAGCAATGTCGGAGCTTGCTCCTTGACTCGGAAAAGTTTGGTTTATTCGGAGGCGCAGGCGAATGTTGTAGCTCTGGGGTTTCGAAAACTGTACAGACTATGTAACCCTGCACTTTAGGTCTACGGCCTTTGAGTCAGAAAACCTGGCTGGACCTAGCTATGAATGTCCTGTGGTTGCCAGGATTGGGACTGATGCGGCTCAAATAGAATTCAGAATCCTCGGATCAGGTGTAGCTGCATTACGTCGAACCTCCTGACCTGCGATGCGCCGGGCGCCTATGAAGCTTCGCACGACCATGATCATCCATGCCTCGAGAATTACTAGTTTTGTACGTTCGGAGGGCTCCCTTCTTTTAAGGGGTCCTTTAAGAGTTCAACCTCAGGGTCGGGTCTGTCTGCAGCCCCTGATCGATGTCATGTAGACTTGCAGGTCAGGCGTTCAGTATGCTGAACATGCAGATACTCGGATTTCTGGTATGCATGAAGTATGGATTCCGTGTTCGCCCTCTCAGACTTCGAGCTGGTGCAATTTGTACGCGTAGAATGTTCGAGTAGGCAAACTAGATGCTGGAAGGCTGGAAGCAAGCTGGAAAAATGCGCGCAGAGTAGCCGGAGAGCGGCGAGAAGCACGGAAGCAACATGACACCGAGCCGCACCACAACACACGGACATTCCTGGGACCACGACAGGCATCGCACCTGTAGTTCCGCTCCCTATCTCTCCTCTTTCTCTCTATCTCCTCGCTTTCCCTCTCTCTCTCTCTCTATTGCCCTCTCTCTCTCGCTCTCTCTCTCTCTCTCTCTCTCTCTCTCTCTCTCTCTCGCTTTCTCACACTTGCAGCCCACATTTTGTCCAAGGGGAAGCTCTTTCCATCACCTAAATCTGGCAGCTTTGATCCCGTAAACCCTAACCTCAAACCTAGCAGCAGCTGTAATAGGGCTTCCGGGCTTCACTCCATAAGGTCCGCTGCTAAGGTCTGTTACACCGGTGATGTTCCAGACAACCGATGCCACCCTCGCGTCGAGACCTTCCTCGGACCTCTTGGGTTCAAGGGTTCAGTTGCAATAAGAAGGCAACTACAAGGTGCTTGAAAGAGCGTTATAGAAAGATTGTATCATTTGTGTACTTTAAGGTTGTTGTAACGCCACTTATTGTCAAGGTTGGAGTTTCAGCTTCGGAGGATTGGGAGCAAGGGTTTTCGCCCTAAGCCCTAAACCCTACACCTTGGAGGCTTTAGAGTGTGAGCTTAGTAGTGGGACTACGGGTGAAGCCGTGTAAGCTCAGGCCGACTTTGAGTCGGCACGAATATATTGTGTACTATTACGATTATGTTGTGATAATGTCGGTGTCCTGTAGATCTAGTCTACACTATTCAGCAGTGTCGAAGGTCATGCCACTACCTGACAAGCATCAGAAACCCAACTCTCTTTTCCCCCCATACTGCCGCAAAAGCCTCATCGCAAGCCAGGGGCGCAGGGAGTCTGTCGGCATTTCAATCACTACTGGCCGATGGTTTCAGTTCGGAGTATGTCTTGGCGTACTCCTGGACTCGAAGCAACTGTAGAATGTGTATGGCATGAACAGCCGTGCCGTCAAAGTGGGTCGACAGGCTGTGGTATTCGCCCCAGACAGCCATGGCATCTTTTGGGGCAAATGTTTATATTCCACACCTTCTCGTGTACGTCTCTGGTCATCGCTCGTCTTACACTTGTGCTTTCGCTCGTTTGTCCAGTGAGATTTGGACATGGATCTCCGCAGTCGAGAGGTGTGGTTTAGCTGCTTGCCTTGCTCAGGCATATAAATGTGCAAAAATGAATATAAAAAACGGAATGCACCACCATAACCTACAAAAAACACGTACAGTGTAGCTGCCCGTGCTTCTGGTTTCACTAGGAGTGCGTGTCCATCACCGCAGACTCAACTTACGACATGAGTGGGCCTCTTGGCTTCGGCAGCCGAGGTCAGTTGTCACTTGTAGAGCTTGCAGCTAAGCATTTAGGGTCTAGGGGGATCTGAGAAAGGATCCTGGTGCCCCTGCTTTCAACTTTGACGAGTGAACCTTACATTCGTGGTAATCAGCGTGCGTTTTTGTTCTCATGTATGTCCTTCGCTGATGCGCTAACTGCTTGCCTCTATGCCGCGGGTCCATGTGCCCATGCATAAGATCCCCAATGGCATGCGTGGCCCGCGGCCCAGGAGATGGCAAGCTGCTAGAAAACCCAGATAGGCTAAATCCCAAGCCTGAAAGCCCTAAAGCCCTAAACCCCAAGCGCGAGTGCTTTGTTTCACCCACCAAAGTATGTGCCTCGGCAGACAACAGTCATCACACTCAGAAACCCAAGCCCTAACGCCCCAATTAAGCCATGAAGTCTTCCTCTGGATTTCGTGAGAGCACTGAGCTTTCGCTTGTTCCCCCTGTAGAGCTCGACCAATCTCGAAAACGAAGCCCTACTGCAAGCTCTGTTAGGGTCTAGGGTATGCGGTATGGGGTTTAGGGTTTTGGCTTTGAGACAGCAAAGACGACATGATCGGAATCTGTGAATGGCTCTTCGTATAGACCCTGAGCCTGACTTCAAATGTTGTGCAACGAGTTCAGTTTCAAGTTTGCTGGTGTCTTGCCGGCACACACCCAAAGCCCGTGCTGAAAACGGGCAAGGAGGGTAGAGGGCAGCATAAAGATCCATGAAGTAATATCGGGGCCTTAATAATTACCTATATTACTTTGGGGGTTCAAATTATTAATATAGTAGAATATACCCCAAAGCCCCATTCTAATTATCACGGCCCCTGCACTCATCATCTCCCATCCGTTCAAGCATGTTAGGAGCAGGCGAACATACTGCTCGTCACATCCAGAACCATGCGCGCTGTACCCCAAAGCCTTAGTTTCCCATTACCCAACCTTTAAACTTTTTGGGTTCGTATAATTTAGT